TAAATATGATATTTTGATGTTTAAGAAGGGCATATATGAAATTCTCCCCTTTTTTTTTTTTTGTTAGAATTCAACAATAAAAAACAAGTATCTTTTGAAATTTCAGATTTTCTAACGAACTTTGGATTTATTCTTAAAATTCAGAAATAGTTTTTTTTATATATAATCCAAAATTTGTGTCTAGTATGTACTTTTTGGCAAAATAATAATAATAATAATATAAAACAACTTATGGATGACCTATAGTTAGTTTGAAATGCTTTATTTTGGCAATTTTTTTTACACATCAATATATACTATCTTACTCCACACATCAACGTAATCTTTGTTGACCTTATAAACCTTAAGGGGTAGAGAATTGTAACGCCTGTGTTTATGAGATAAAAGTAGTAATAATGTTGTAATAGTCTATGTCAACTTTTGTAACTCATTTTGAAGTAATAAAAAGGAATCATGTGAATATCATGTGAATTATATGCTTATTTGCTTAATTATTATGATTTAATTAATTAATAATGAAAATAAGCATTGAAAATAAATATTGGAAAAAGCCGATATCTTTTAAGAAAGTTGTAGTGGCCGAAACAAGGATTCCGGAGATATAAAGAACGCCGAAATCCGAGTTATAACGAAGAAGTTATGAATTGTCAAAGTTTCGCGACGGAACCGGCACGGCACCGGGAAGCGTAAAAAGTGAATTTACGACAAAGTGCTTTTTAGCCGACACAACCTAAACGAGAATCGAAGGTCTCGTTAATAGCAGTACAACGATAAAAAGACTAACGAAAACGGACGTCGGATGAAGAAGTTATGAATTTTTAACGGATTTTCCTATCCCGGTCTGTTAAAAATAATAATATTAAAATTAAAGTCAAAATTAGCCGACGAAGTCTAAACGAAAGTTGTAGAACATATTCCCGCCTATGCGTGCATATAAAGAACATCAAAAACGGAGCTCGTATGCGAAAGTTATGAAATTTAGAAGTTTTTGGTGCAATTTTCGAAAAAATCGCATGAAGAGGAGTCGGCCAAGTCACCCTCGCCTTGTGTCCGAAGCTGCTGCGTCACCGAGTTGTGGCCAAGTCCGGATCTGATGCGTGTCACATTCTCCTCGGACCGAAGCCTCGGCCAATCAGAGGCTGCCTCGTGGCCTTCGCATTTTCTGACGCGCCTCGCCTCCATATCTCGCCTCACACCAACAACCTGTCCCTCTCGCATCCGAGCCACGTCTCCCCTCCGTGTCCGAGCCTCGCAACCGCTACGTGGAGTCTTCTCAGCCAATCAGTCCTCGGTCTCGCACCCTATAAATAGGGGGTTGCGAGATTTGCCGACTAGAATTAGAAAATTGCCATTTTTTGCCCCTCTCTCCATATTTTGACTATTTTGACTTTTCTCGAAGTCCCGATATCATTTTTAAAACCCGGAATACGTCCCGAAGTGCCCAATGACCCGGAAAATTTTATCTTTTCTGGTTTGAAGCTCCAACCCTCGCAGAGCCCGGTTTCTCAATAAAACTCCCGGTTTTATCATAAACGATTATTTTAGAGAACGAATTGCTGCCCGATTATCATCAAATCAAATGAGTGTATAGTCACTTTCATCTTACACATAGATATGAAGTATTTTTTTATAAAATACGTGCTACGTGTAATTATATTGATTGCTTATTTGAGATGACTGTTGAATAAATGTTTTATACAAGTTATAAACTGTATATGTATTTTATCTACAAATATGTTGGGTAAACATGGGTAGACGAAATAGTTGATGTGTGTTAAAATGATGAGAGGCCTCGATGTTGTTGTTGTTCCATTCATCTAGCGGAGTATAGATGACGACCACGAACTCTTCTAGACAGTCTAGTGGAACGCTAGCAGGCTTGCAACCTGTAGGTGTTTGTGGGCTTGATGTTCACCGGTGTACTCCATCCCCCCCCCCCCCCAATGGTTGCCTTACGGATATATTTGGCTAAGGAATCCCCTTAGCAGTAAAGTCCATCCCGATGATAAAATCCTTAGACTAGGTCCCTTGTATAGGTGTTTAGGGACGTAACGTGAGGATAACGGGAATAGGTAATCAGGGTTATTGTTGGTTTGATAAAATTAATAAATTTATTTTTGATCGATGAAATTAATCGATTTATTATTATTTGTGGGTTGAAAACTGTATATGCTCACCAGATTCCAAAGCCTGACCCACTCAGCTTTCTGTTTTACAAGTACTGGACCCAGAGCATAATTTGGATGATGATGAGGGCTTTTTGGATTATAGGCCACTAGTTGTAAATAACTGTTGTAAGGCTTATAATGTACTGTTTATGCTTTTGATCTGTATCAAACATGACATCCCGAGGCTTTTTAATAAAATACATTTCTACGGAAATGCTTTGATAAATCTTTTTTTTTTTGAACAAATTCCGCTACACTTTTATGTAAAATATTACTCTGATTTTCAAATAAGCATAAACAAAATCGGTCTTTTGACCGTGAAATTGGGAATGTCACGATATATATATATATATATATATATATATATATATATATATATATATATGTATATATATATATATAGGAGGGTTCATGCGAAAATGCAAATAATTTGCGAAAACGTGAAAACAAGAAAAACCTATGAGATTGTGTCACCTCAACATTATCTTTTTTGACAATAATTCATCCAAATGTTGAAATACATGATGATAATCGATAATAGATGAGAAATTGTAACATATTAGCAAAGTATGATTTTTGACATTTTTATTATGAAAACATGAATTTAAAAATGGACTTTATAGCAGAGGAGGGAACAAAAAGGTATATACGATTGGAGGGATATTTGAATAATGATTGATTTGTATGGAATACTATGTTTAGATTTTTGTTATCTAACTAAAAAGTAATAATTGCAGGGGTAGGATTATAAAATATGGGGTAGGTATAACAATACCTTTTTATTTATGCACTTTATTCTATCACACTCCATTCTATTTTGACCTAGACTAATCATCTTTTGATTGAATTTTATTAGTTACCTTCTATTACATTAAAGACTTCAACTCATCTTTTTGTTTTTAATATTGCACATCTTTTTTTATTTTTTTTTATTTTGCTATTTATTACAATAAGATAGTCATATTTTACTATTTTATTTTGTTTCCATATATATAACTTTTTACTGAGTTTTCAAACAATTTTATTACTGCACGTTTTTTTGACAAAATTTCGAAAACTTAACTTTCTTTTATTAATAATAAAACGCATACATTAGAAAAAAAAAATAGACTTAAGTTATATAATAGAAATGTATTTATTATTAGGTTATATACTATGTAAATGAATAGAAAATGTTTATATGATTTTTAATAATAGTTTTAATACTTTCTTTTTGAAATGATATATTCAGATTTTTTTATTTAGTAGTTATTATTATTTTATTTTGCAAATATGTCTTAAATTTATTTTTATAATAATTTTATTAATATACGTGTTTATTAACATTATAATTATGGGCTTCTAAAAATACAACCAAATTTTCTTAAAACACATTAAATGACAAACACGTTTTAATATGTTTTTTTTTTATTTTATGTTATGCTTTTTTAATGTTATGATGAAGTTTTCTACTGTGTTGTTTGCTGTAACAAAAAAAAAATAGTTTTTTTTTTTTTTTTTTAGTTTTACTTTTTAATGTTTTTTTTTTTAATTTTGGTAATTATAATCTATGATATGTAAGAAGCTTTAAAAGAAAATTTAGAAAATAATAAAGTTAGTAAAATTTAATTGAATATAACAAAACAATAATAAAGTTTTTAAAAAAATTAATGATTTGAACAAAAAAAAATTCAAAAACTTATTATCTGTATAACTTTTTTTTTCCGGTTTTAGATATGTCAACTTGTTTATACTTTTTTTTTAGTTTTTGAATATATATATATATATATATATATATATATATATATATATATATATATATATATATATATATATATATATATATATAAAAAGAGAGAGAAGACAGAAAAGTAAGAGAGAGAAAATTATTTTTTTCAAAACACAATATAACTAAAAGCTTTTATTAATATCAATGATGAGTTAATTATAACTTTAAATAGACATAATAATAAATTTTTAATTGAGTGAAGTGTCTACAACATCATCTATTAATTACGTGATACATATCACATGTCAATTCAATCAATTATTCGAGCAATTGGAATTGAGTTCGTGGGTTTAGAATCACCCGAACTATCTTCGTTCGAGTTAGGGGGTTTGAAGGATGTTAAAAGATCATTAAAAATAAAAATAATAAAAAAATCGCATTTAGGTAATTATTTTTTTCAAAACTTAACTATCTTCGTTCGAGTTAGGGGTTTGAAGGATGTTAAAAGATCATTAAAAATAAAAATAAAAATAATAAAAAAATCGCATTTAGGTAATTATTTTTTTCAAAACTTATATTTTGGTAAAAAGAAAAACTCATTAAATCGTTCAGCTATCTCCTATCTCCTCCCCTTCCGTCAAAATCAGCGACAAAGTGGAGTTATACACCAACTGTGATCCACTTATAGAGTGGACTCCAGGACTTCAATTAGGCCTTCAGTTACCAAAATCAGAATGAATTATATCAAAATACACAATCACAAATGTTTTAGATGTTGCTTTCTTCAAACCAGAGGGTCATCAGGTCTTTCCATCAAAAAATCCATCACATATTAGCCCAACCAAAGCTTGTCTTTAAGATGATAAACTAAGATTTTATGAGAGTTGGAGACGATGGGATGAAACTTTGAAGTGAGTTTTAAACTCACAGAGATCCAGTGGGAAGTGGAAATCAAAACCCAGAATACAGTAAGGGGTAAAACGGTAATATTACATGCATTTAACAGCCAAAAACTAACAGCATCCATTACCACCATTACGGTGGCCTAGTGGTGATTACTTGGTATGAAACACTTTACACTCCAAAATGTAGTTGACCCAGTTTCAAATCCCATTGGCTTCAACCTTGGGGTATCATGGCATTCCACCAAAAAAAAAAAAAAAGGAACTGAATTCAAGCATTGCGGTATTTTCATGCATGTTCAAAGACTCGAATTGAGAATCATAATAAAAGTTACCATCAAGCACAAATTAGCAAATTTAAATTAGAACCCAACCTAGTCATACTCGAGTTCATCAGGGGTAACTGGCCTCTTGAGTGGGATTATAGACTTCTTTTCTACATCCCGAGATAAAGCTTTCCTCATATCTACATATTTCAACAACAACAAAAAAAAACATTTAAAGAGCAATGAAGCAGAACACGCCAGGTGGATATGAGAAGGCTTACCTAACCCATCTTCTTCCCCAGAATAGTAACGTAACACACGTCTATAAATCACGTACTCAAGCTGCAACAAACAGGTTGAAATAATCAGAATACCCACTAATCTATGATACTAATATTAAGTTTTTGACTAAATTTACATCTTTGGTCCTCGAGTATAGCCATCTTTTTTCCCAAAAAGTTTTCTTTTGCAATTCTGGTCCTTATTTGAGGTTTTTGTTAAGTTTTTGGTCACCGTACTATGTTCCAAGTAAAATGACTGTTTTTGGTCCCCGGGTACAGATGATCTTTGCGATTCTGGTCCCAAAATATAGTCATTTTACTTGAAACAAGAACAAAAACCTCAAATAAGGACCAAATTTGCAAGAGAACTTTTTGGAGACAAAATTGAAAAAATCAGCTATATTCATGGACCAAAAATGTTACAAAAACCTCAAATAAAGGCCAAAAATGAAAAATCAGCTATACCCAGGTAACACAATTGTAATTTACTCAAAAAATATTGTTAGACGTTTAACTTTCAAGCATTACCTTTTCATACATCTTTATAGCTGGTGTATTTGATGCTCTTACAAACAGGTCCACAAAGTAGGCCTTGTCACTGCCAGAAAAGTATTTTCAAAAAAATATTTTTTTTTCATAAGACATTAACAGATAAATTAAAAAACATACCATAAAAACTTAGGATGATAATAAACTAATTTACACACAGTTATCAATATGCTCACTGTTATAATACAACTTAGTGTAAATTACAAGTTTCGTCCCTGTGGTTTGGTGTTTTTATGGATTAAGTCCAGTTTTTTTGTTTTGTAACGTTCATGGTCCCTACAAAGATTTTTTGTCACACTCCAGTCCCTGAGCAATCTACTTAATAATCCAGGCGTTAAATGCTAAAAATGACCATTTTACATTTTTACCCTCTTCATCTTACCATGTGACACATATATCTCCTGCAACTTCAAAACCATAGAAACATTTTGACAAACCTATTTCAAGGATTCAACAGAATCTGTGGGACCAATTGCTTTGAGATATAAACTGATTTGAGCTTTTACATTTTTTTTTTTTTTTTTTTGATTTAGTGTTGTTTTAATTTTAGATTTGATTGGGTTTAGGGTTTCATGAACATAAATATGAAGGGGGTGACAAATGAAGATGATAAGGGCATATTTGTCGTTTTACATGGAATTAAAATCCCAGCAATTAAGTTAAACGGCTAAGGAACAGAAAACGTGACAAATAAACTTTGCAAGGACAATTACGTAAAAAATTAAGAAGCTGGACTGCATTCATAAAAAGTACCTAACCACAGGGATGAAAAATGTAACTTATTCTAGACCTTATTGATGCTATATGTTTTAGTACACAAGACTCACTTTATTTGCACACTGATATATTACAACTTATTAATGTATAAGTTTTAGCACACAAGATACTCCTATTTTAACCTTAGTGGAGGGTACTTTATTCAAATGACTGATGATCAAACATCCCTATGTAGTAGTCAAATGTTGTGGTATTTCAATTTTTTTAGGTATCAGTCCTTAAGCTTAAAAAATTGATACACTTGAGAAGCAAGTAGATCAATATGTCAACAAATTGATGAGAAACTACAAACTCAGCAAAAAACAGCTACATAAAAGAGTTACAAATGTGGAAGCTTTGAAATGATGAAGAAAAGAATAAACATAAAGTTTATATGCTTAGGTGACCGTATTGCATCATTACTCTAATCTAGGATATATTTCCTAGATTAATTCACTCAAAATGTAACAAAGTAGATGCACATATACAGAGTATGTATTCAGATTAATAAGTAAGAATCAACTCACATCTTGTCACTTATGTCTTCTAGTAGGTTCATTAGTTTCTTAGCCAACTGCTGCCTGCGGAATTCTGGAGCTACTGTAACTGCTGTGACATGACCATGCCATGACTCACCTTGCCCTTCAACTTTACCCATAACTGCAGTAAAAGTAAACACCTTATATCCATATATAATGCAATTGAAATAGATGAAACATGTATATGGATAATGGATATCATCACGAAACCATAGTGAATGTGGCCAGAATTGATAAACACTTATTGTTTTCAATGAAACAAATAGGAGATAAATAGCATAATGAACTTTATGATATCTCAGTTACCGAGTTTAATAGATGAAACGAAACCCTAACCAGAAAAGGAATTCTAAATGAAACTCGATCTTTCTTTATAGAAGTTCCCCTGTAAATTAAAAAACTGGAAAAGTAGAAGGATGGAGAATTTACTGTATCCCATAACTCTGTTTCCTGGAGCTTCGGCGACATGGAAATAATCAGGCCAGCGTGCCAAGTAGGTCATATAGAATGACATGTTAAACTGTGCATTGATCAAAATCATATCCAGTGAGAATCGTAAAATAAACAGATAATATAATATATATACTTGAACCAATACTCCATTTCGCCTCGAATCAATTGAGCTTTCTCCTCTTTGATTTTACATGGAATGAGTGGTGGTCTGTTTTCCAATCGCTATCCCAAATCAGAGGAAGATAATTATAATACTTACAGTTTCTGTGAGATGATCGAGATTTACAGAAGAGAATCGTAGAAGATCATCGCAGCAAAATCTTCGAATTGTTGTCATCTCTCTCGCTCTCGCTGTCGCCCTCTCTCTTCTAGCGACGGTGGGTGAAATTGAACTGGTCGGCGGAATATAGATTTTGAGAACGTAAAACGCATTTAAGTAATATTCGAATTGTACTGTATATTAAAATTTTCCAGCCTTCAATTTAAGGAAGAAAAGAAAGAAAATGGATAAAAGAAAGGAAATGGATATAAGTGAAAGGAAAGTAAAAGAAATTGGTATTTTCGAGTTTCATTAAAGGAGGAAAGTGGAAGGAAATGGAGGGATCACTTTCCCTCTTAATTTTCCTTCCGATTTGGAAGGATTTGGAGAGAAAGAACAAAATATGTAACTTTCCTTCAATTTCTTTCTAACTCGGGAACACAAAAGATAAATTTCTTTTCCCTTACTTTTTTTCTTTTCTCTTCTTACTTTCTTTTCTTTTCTCTTCTTTTCTTTGCTACAACTCGGAAATGGGGTGTTAGTTATAATATATATTAAAATTCTCCACCTAAGTAAAATGGCCAAGGGATCGACAAAATTGGTCCCAAGTTATTTGTATATGGTCAATTTCTTTTTTTTTTTTTTTTTTTTTTCTTCAGGAGCCCTTTTAGATAATTTTTGAAATTGAAGTTGTATACATCTTCTTTGTCTTCTTTGTATTTGTACTTCACCGTCTTTGTAAGCTAATACATACCCCACCTCCCACTGCTTCCAATTACATACGGACAACACCTCAATACGATTTCTGCTTCTCACTTTTGCCACAACATCTCACCAACTCTGCTACCTCACAGACTTCTCCTTCTCCACATCTCACCGATGTCTTCCTCCCTAGGAACACTATCGAACCCAAAATCCAACCACCGGTTATCCACCCCACCCACCATCAGCCTATCATGGCTCTTCCATTGCTCACCGTCACACCTGCATAAGCCAGGTGACCCCTCAATCGTGTCTGGTTGATTCGTGTTCCTTTTAGGGATTTTCAAGAGGAACCGGGGTAAGCGACTCCTCCCCTGGTCTCTGCCGTTTATCGTCGACTCCCATATCAGGCCTTCGACCGGTGGCCTTCGTCACACTACTTTCTCCGTTCAGCGTATCCCCTCTCCACCGCCTCCTTCATCGCTACAAATGGTTGAAGTTTTCACCGCCGTACGTAACTTTTAAAACTAATCGGCTTTCGTTCTTGCTCTGGAAAGCCTTCGACGCTATCAGGTGCTTATTTCCATTTTATCTGTGTGTCTCAATCGATTCATGTATCTTTTTTTTAAACTCGACTCTAGCGACATTTTGACACATGATGTTAGCTGCTTAATTTTGTTGTACTTTTTTATCTAATACCTAATCAAAACTTTTTTGTCCGTTTATTTGACCTTCTAACATTGTCATCGGCAACTCTGTCTGGCAGCTGTCTCATCGTCGCCAACGCACGACAAGCCAAGAGTGGTTTTAGGTTTCCGGTTGGGCTGGGTGTACACTGATGAAAAGGATTGACACTGGTGTATATGATAGCGTTTGTGTTTCCTCTGATGTCTTGCCCTCCCAATCTTACACTTAAGTGCTTCCTGCTTTGTCATAAGATATTATCAAGGTTATACTTCGTTTGTTTTAGGGTTGATAAGAATGATTTCATCGATGTTTGCTTACAAATCATGTTTTATATTTGATTGATTTCATGTTTCTTTTTTCGGGTATCATCAACACCTAAGGTACTAAAAATAGTCAACTTTTTGGACAATTTTCTGGTATGTTTTATTACATTTGCATATGTTATGGATTTCTTGAAGAAGGGTATATATTTTTGTGTACGAAATATCTGTTTGTCAACAATGGAAACTAAGGTTTCATGTCAAAGATTTGATCCAGTCTCTTCCTCCACCACCACCGCTGTAATTTCCAGCTCTCGGTTGTCACCCGAAAGATCAGTGGTTGCTGATGGGTGCGTTTCAATACATGGCATCTCAACATGACAAGAGATCCAAGATGTAAGTGCTTTTATACTAATGATATTGAGTTTCTTTTATTAATTTTTATTATATGATTAAATCATTTCATCTTATGTTGTAGTCTATAGTGGTGACAAAGTTGCAGATTTTATGGACTTGATTAGCATCATTTTTTAAACAGACTATCAAATCAATTACCAAGTGAGCTTTTTTTTTAATCTATACTATGTTATATCAGAAATGGTAATCCAAACCATGATTGGAAGAACTAAAGAAATTTCTTTTTCATAGGTCTGGTGCCAGGTTAAGAGAAACTAATATTCGTTTTCAGAAACTAGACATTGACAAAAGCAAAAGGGCATTTTCGGAAAACCAAGTTTGAGTTCTCTTTGGAAAATATTTGTGCCAAAAGCTACTAAAGTCAAAATGACTAAGGTATTGGATTATATACGATGAGGGTGTTTTCGCCTTATAGTCAAAATTAGGTTAGTTTATTATTTTTTGATATCAAATTGAGGAAAAAATCTTCAAATTTCAAACGACAATGCTGAAAACTGTGTCATTCGGTACGTGCATTTTCCTATTTGGGTGTAATGATTTATGTATACAGAAGTTTTGTTTCTTCTGTAGAATAAACTGTTTGAATAAAAGTAAAATTTTAATTTCTAATATTCATTAATTGAGAGGGGGGAAAAAAGGTAAAGGGTTACTGTATTAACCTATTAAATCATATTTGTTTGACTGAACCATAAAATCAAATTTCCAAATTAATCGACAAGGAAATACCCATGTTTAAATTTTAGTTGTTTATATGAGTATTTTGTTTCCTTCTTTTTCAGGTTGAGCTAACAAAGGACAATATATCCGCATTTTCCCCGCTCAATACCACATCTGGTAGGTTTTTCAAAAATTTTCCTCTGTGTTACTTTCTAAATGTTATGTTGTAGTAGAAAAATAGTTTGATGGATCAATAGTCTTCATTTACACAATCAGAGGGTCAAAGAGGGTCTAACTGGAGGTGTATTAGATGCTTATGTTCATTTATGGGTATTTCGGACAAATATACCCCTGCTTCTTGGTTGTTGGTGTAATCATATTCATTGCAATTTCAGTTGATGTTACCCTTGGGATTTTATTTTGGGTCAACCTATTGTCGTATTTTATTATAGAATTTTTTGAAATAAAACAAAAAATAATAAGTTGTTTACCCAACCACCCGATGTCCTGATGTATACTTTATAATTAAAATAAAGTCCGTTAGACGGTATTGTCTTAGGTCTACAGTGAAAGTAGTCTTAATTGGTTGAACATTATTGTCTTAGCCGGAGGAACTGCACGATTACACCAGGATTAGCAAAAAAATTAGAAAAGCAATTACATTATCTTCTGCCTTCCTCTATATTTAATGCAATTTGTGTTATTGTGTCCAAATACAGTGATTTGTAACCCAAGGTTACTTTTTGAAAAGCTATTTTATTATGCTCTCTTTTCGTACATTTTTTAGAAAATTGTATATGATTATTTGTTGTTTTGCCTAAAACACCCTTGTGTTGTAGGCAAAAAAAATGACTCATACATTTAGAAAAAGAATTGCTCAACCAGAGGCAATGAATCGTGTTGATATGCTTACCTTCCTACCTGAGGTATTATATTGTGTAAAATAACCTTAAGGTGTGGATTTGAAAGTTGAAATAAAACCACATTTCTCACCACAAAGAAATGTTATATTTTGTTTGGTGAATATATTAACCATAGACTTTTGTTCTGTGGCTCAAACAAGCTTCAAGTCTTGAACTATATGTACATAGTTAGAATGGTAATAATGCTTTGTAAATTGGATAATACTTGCAACAATACAAATTCACTTTTTACCGAAGGCTTCCAAGCCCCGCAAAGCGAGGGCACTTATCTAGTTAAAAATTAAAAATAATAAATAATAAAAATTTGTTAAATACTATTGATTTTAACAACTGAGGTTGTCAAGATCGAGATATTTAGTATTGTTTTTGCATTTCCAAGATCAAAATCTTAAGATCCCACAAAATTAAATTTAACTTTAATTAATTTTAAAACATGAAAAATATTTCAAACATTCAATTTTAAGTTCAAAAGTTATAAAAACTTTCAAATATTAGTCATAAGTCACAACACAAAATTATAAACGATAAATTGATAAAGGGTAAAAGATATAAAACGGAAAAAAAAAAAAAAAAAAAAAACTCATTTGAAAAAAAAAATTAATGGAAGGTAGGATCTCATCGGATCCCGATCCTATTTGCGATTCTACCCTAAATACGATTTGTTTACGATTCAGCTCGTTTTTCATATTTAGAATCATAGCATCATAGGACCGTACGATCTTATGATCGGGATCACGATTTTGACAACCATAGTAGATTGCACTTCAGTAATTATATATATATATATATATATATATATATATATATATATATATATATATACACAAGTACCCATGAACAACACTTGCTTCCTGTTGGACCATTTCTAATTTTTTTTATCCATTTATGCAGTAATTTTTTTCTATATGGTCGATGTCTGGATTATTGTTTGTGTTACATGGTGTTTCCTTTGTCCACTGCTTTAACATGTGTTCACTTCTTCATCTATCTTCCTCATCTTCTCACCGCCTCGCACATCCAATTACCTTTCACCTAATCGATTCATCCTATTTTTCTTATTCCATCGTTCATGCTTCATGGAATCTCCCTCCTATAGCCACCACTTCGTCGGTTTTCTCTTCCGACTCCATAGCTCCCCACCTTCATATCTGCACCGCTTACTTCCTCCTCCAATTTCTCTTTTCAATATCGACACCAATGGAAGAACTCGCTTCAAAGCTTTGCATTTTGGCTTCTCCACTGCTCTGTGCTTTGCGGACGCATCACCACCCACAATATCCTGGCCATTCCCCATCATCTCCAACAGTCACCGCCAACTGTTGCTTTCTTTACTTAATGACAATGTCGAAACACGTGTTGAGATTACATCATCGAGTCGCTGCCTTCGTTTTCCAATTAGATTGTCGACCATCTTTAAAGGTCCTCCGTCACACTTTTGGGGTGATTTCTCAAGATTTATGGTTTTAGTTTTATTCCATCATATTGAAATTTAGGTTTTTAGAAACTCTAATGTGAAATTGAGTTATTTTGATTTGTTTTGTCACTTATCTTCGTTTCTTAAGCAATTGTCAAGAGCCTGTGCTACCAGGTTCTCTGAAATGGTGTCTTAAGGTTCGTTCCTTTTGTGATGTGTTACCAATATGTAAATTAGTTTTTTTGGTGGTTGTTCAATGGTAAAATCCAAACAACTTTAAGGTTATGTGGCTTTGGATACTCTTCTATTTTTTATGTACTTCATATATGTTCTATATTAGGTGAGTGAACTTATGATTATCCCGCTCCTTCTACTCGCCCGCCTACCATCTCTCTTCTGCTTCACGAATGTCACCAGTCGTACGTCTACAGCCGCATCGATCAATGGCGGAATCCGATAAGCCCAAGGTACACGGTCTGATGTGTGATTAGGTTTTTTTAAAACCTTTCCACCAATTTGTTGTCTATTCCATCAGGGGTCAAACAATTTCAAGGATAGTAATTTTTTTCCAATTGTATGTTTTTTTACATATGTTGTCATTGTTTTTTGTTGACACTGTCCAACTTCAAATGTATTGTGTTGATGCAGTATTCTGGTAAGCTATGTCGGAAGAAAAGGCTTCTGTTGTGGAGGAATTTCACATACCTAATCAATCATATGTATAGAAGGTGATATGCACATGCCCTTAATTCAGTCATAGCCAAGTGAATCCCATGTACAGATTGCACATGAAACCTTACGTTTCTTTTTTGTGTCAAATACGGGTTTTATGGGTTACGAGATGGGTTACAAGGATGAGGTCAGTTGATATTTTTCATTCAATTTTGGTTTTTTTTTTTTTTTACAGGTGCTAATAAGTTCAGTTCTCTAATGAGTTTCTTCCTGTACGTTTCCTCTTTCTACTATTTTTCACGTCTTTATTGATTAAATTGTATTCATCGGTATTAATTCGATTAACTGATTTAGTATCCCGAAGAACTTGAAGATGAAAAGTTCTCCCTACCATTTATGTTTTACAAATTACCAAAACTACCCTTTTGTAGAAACGGATTTCCATTAGTGTTTCCGCTTCCATCATCATGAACAGAAGACACATTCCCAACTTTTTTAGATTCTTGAATCTTGTGTGGTGTTTCTCGATTGTTCTTTTCTTTATTAACATTTCCCAAACTTAATAAAGTTTTCTTTTTTAATTGAAGTAGATAAACCCCATAAGTTGTAGAAGATGATCCTGCAACAACTTCAGAAAAAAGCTTTTTCATTGTAAAAATTAGCAACAATTTTAGTGGAATTACTCTTATTGTCATCAACATTCTTGGATTTAGAATTAATCTCCACCCCATTGTTTGTTTTTTTTTCACCTTTACATCTTAAAGAACTTCAACCCTGAATGAAAGAGTGGTGGGCTCAAGAATACTTATCTTGATAATATACTTGCCCCAGTTTTGAAGGTAAATCCTTTCAACTTGTGTTTTACTGTTCATTTGAAAAAAATTGTACAACTTTTACATTGTTTTGTTGTAAATTATAAGGCATTGATAGAAAAAAAAAAAAACAACTATTAATCCAGCTGAAGTTGGAGACATTGTTGTTGGATCAGTGTTGGGACCAAGCTCCCAACGAGCAAGTGAATGTAGGATGGTTGTTTTCCATGCTGACTTTCCTGGCTTCGGAAGGATCTGTTATAACATTTTCCCCCTCTTTGTTAATAATAATGATAAAAAAATCCATTTTGGACTGTTTTGAACATCTGTTGTGCTTTACTTGCATCAGGTGAAAACCATGGCAGACGCCCAAGATTGTTTTCTTCCAGTGGGAATCACATCAGAAAATAAGAACAAAAGGTGAAGCTCAAAGTAATAGAAAAAACGATTTTTTTCACTTTCGATTTCATTTATATGATTGAAATTGAATATCATGTTTGGTTCTTGAAAATTTAGCTCCAATAAGTATGTATTGTCATGCCTCTCTAATCTTATTTAGTTGTTTTATTAGTTATACTTTTCAATTTTTGTCTGTTTTTTAGTTTTTTTTTTATGGGTAAATAGCAAAAAAAACACTCAGTTTACACCAAAATTCTAATTTGACACTGTGTTTTACAGTTTGTTGAAATTCAGACCACTTGACCGGTCAATCAAGTTACATGCTGACGTGGAATTATGATGTGTCAGTTTTGATGATGTATCATGTTGACATTATATGATGACGTGTCAAAATTGAATTTTTTTCCACAAAAAACACTAAGTTTTCACTTTTTTCGATTTTGACACAAAGTTTACTATTTATTTCAATTTTGATACTATGTTTTTTTTGTTCCAAATCAAATCATTTATCAATTTTTGTTTAATTTTGACAATTTTCCATTTGAAACCGTATAAATATATTTTTTTTATTATATTTTAAATTATACATATATACTAGCCGTTACCCGCGCACAGCGGCGGGGACAAATAGCTTCTTTCAACGATAGTTTTTAAAGAAAAATGTTATGTTCCAAAAGAAAGTTCATGTCGTGGGTGAGAGGAAGGGCGGTAGTCGTGATAGTGGTTGGTTGAAGGCGGAAGGAGGCCGAGCGGCTGTAGTGGTGGTGGTTATACTATCTTGGTTACTGGTTATGGTTCTTCGAGAGAATGTGCGTATATTTCTTATTTTGAAGGGATTACGAAGATAGATATTATGAGATGGCTTATTACCAATGTGAGAGAAGAGATCCTCTATAAATTGTTGACATTGACCGCTTCAAATGGCTGAAGTGTTGAGATTGACGGGTTCAATTTGCAAATGATTTATTCTATTAATTTGATACGAGATTTTTAGGGGATAAAAGATAGGGTTAAAGTTTTATATTATTATATTATAAATGGGTTGTACTTCAAGCTTAATAGTTTGGACGTTTTAAAAAAATAATATTATTATATTCAATCTATTTATAGAAATAGTTAGATTTCTTTTATAAGTAGTAAAGATATATATATATATATATATATATATATATATATATATATATATATATATATATATTGTTTAAAAACCATGTTTTTATTTAAATACAATGTATTTTTTTTCATTCAAGACATAATGTATAAATATGTATTACTTGTATCATGAGAATCAAACTAATCATAACAATTTCATGGGTTGCAAACTTGACATCCGGGTTTTGCTCGGTTATATGTTTCCATACTTTTTTAAAGTTGCGTATTTAATATAAAATATGGTTTTTATATAACTAATACATATTTATATATAAAATTATGGTTTGAATGTATATTAAAAATAAAAAATAAAAAAATAAAAAAACAAAAAAAAAAACCTTGTGTTTATACAGAACTATGGTTTTTAATTGGAAAAAACATTTATACGGTTTAAATGTGTTAAAAAAATATTTATACGGTTTCAAATAAAAAATTGTCAACATTGAACAAAATTGGAAAAAACGATGTTCGAGTTGGAACAAAAAAACAAAGTGTCAAAATTGAAAGAAAAATTAAACTTAGTGTCAAAATCGAAAAAAAAAATGAGAACTTATTGTTTTTTGTGGAAAGAAAAATCGATTTTGACACATCAGCATATCATGTCAACATGCCACATCATCAAAACTGACATGTCATCATGCCACATCAGCATGTAACTTGGTTGACCGATCAAGTGGTGAGAATTATAACAAACTGGAAAACAAAGTGTCAAATTTGAAAAAAAAAAAAAAAAAACACACAATGTCAAATTAGAATTTTGGTATAAACTGAGTGTTTTTTTTTTCCTATTTACCATTTTTTTTTTATTTTTTTTTTTATTTTTTATCTTGGTTTAATTATAAGTTTTGACTTATATAATCACCTCAACTGCAGGTGTGGGTTCTTACAGTTCATGTTAAAAATAGACCTTTGAAGAAAATTTTATGAATATATGGTTTGTTTATATAATCACCTCAATTCCATTATTTTTCGATTTGTAATTTGCGATCCTGAAGGTGGAATGTAAAAAGTTTCAATTGATTTGTTCAAATGAAAGGATTTTGATGTCTGGCTTCTTCAATTACACAACCTGAACTCATGCACTCTATTTCAATCTCCTTTGGAAGATTTGAACATGAGTCATTACCTTAGGAAAGACTACTTGGGCACTACCAGTGAAGAAAGGTAATATTCCGCTTATTGTCTCATATCTTACATTTGTTTTGGTTGTTATTAAAAACTACACTGCAATTTTATGGATACTTCATCATCGGGTAGAGGCTAAACTTTTTTATGGCTTTGTAGGGTATAATGATCCTGTTAAACCAAACCCCCCTCTGTTGCACAAGTGAGATTGTAGATCTGGGTTTGATTACTATATACGGATCATTGGATTGATTTCTGCATATGTTCATCCTAATGTAAGCTTTTAAAAGTTGGGTAAATGCAAAAAATAGCAACAGACTTTCATTTGTTTGTTTGTTATAGCATCTTACTTTAATTTCTCTCTATTACAACGTTACACTTTTATTTTTTTCTTATTAAAACAATGTACTTTGAAAACCCTACCTAATAATAACATTGTACTTTTCATATTTTTTCTTATTAAGACATTCAACTTCAAACACCTACCCAATGTTAGGTACAAATAAAATTAAGATGCTTTAATAAACTTGAACAAAGTCACAAAAAATCTCATTGGAGTTGTTTTGCTGCAGCATTTTCTAAACAGGGAATGTTTTTTTTGGGGATAAAAAACTTTATAAAAATAAAAGCCTCCAAGAGTATAAAAGTTTATTCGTTTATCTATATTCTTTGTTCCTTTCCTTTTGATAATATAAACCTCATATTGTAAACATTTTATATGTACTATTACACTAGGGTTAATGATCATTTCAATAAACAATGATCTTAAATGAGTCAATAGTATAACCATGTCTCCAATGGTATATATGTCAAAGATCAAGACTACACCAACATAAAGTGTCTCCAAAAGTTTAGATTATATGCATGGATGAAAATGAGGGTCTACATTTTATGTGGAATTCAAGTTTGTATTTAGTTGAAAAAGAAATGGTTTTCCGTTTGTGTTTTTTGTTTATTTCTTTTTGTGTTATTGCTTTGTTCATCTTGAACCTAGACAGGTTTTCTGGCGGATCCAACCCCACAAAGCGGGGCTCTTCCCTAGTTCAAATTAAAAGAAAAAATTGTTTTGAGTTTTGAAGTGCAAGTTATCTTTAAGATAAAACAAAATAAAAATAGTTTGTGGCTCGACTAATTATGTAAAAATGATATGAGTCATTCAAATAAGTATTTTGTTATATTTCATTAAAATAACTATTTTTACAACCTCTCAGAAGAAAAAAAAAATAATAACTCTTTATAATATATCACATTGTCTCTTGCCTATAGAGTTTGTTTACAAATTAATCGTGTTAAACTATTTTAAGATTGTAAAATTAATGTATTTAACTTTCAGTTTATTTTAATAGTTTGAAGACGTTAAAAAACAAGTAGTTTCTTTTTTGAATAGTGCAAACGTTTAGTCTATCTCTTCTTCTGCAGAGGTTTGTAGATGTTGTCCGCAAACTACAAACATTGTGTCTCTGAAGAAACAAGCATCATCTTAATGAATGTTTCGATAATTTTCAAATGTTTTTAGGTTTTATGACTTTTTAGCAATTTTATGTAATTTTAAATATTTAAAGTATTACAGCTACTTTTTGCTAAATATTTTTACATAAATAAAAATAACATATTCCATTTCATCCTTCAGCAACTCTACATTTTATTTTATCAAACACATCCCAATTGTATCACACACACCCCTAGTGTCCCTTTTCTTGTTATAATAATTTTGCTATGAGAAAAAATTTGAATTAATTTTAAAATTATACTTGTTTATATTTAATCAACTAAATACCACTAGAGTTGCCTAATTTAACAATCAAAGTTTCACATATGGCCCATTAAACTTTTCAGTTTGTCCTTAAAATAGTCATTACGAAATCTTTTTTGTATGAATGGTCTTAACATTGTAGACAAATGGTCCGCATGACTATTTTTGTTAACATAATTTGTTATGTGTTTGTGAAATGATGAAAATACCTTTTGTTTTTATTATTTTAATTCTTTATACAAAAAACAAAATATATACACACATTCAAGAGCACACACCTTGTAACATCCGGAATCCCGTGTACATCATTTTGATTATTTACTTTTGAGGTTTATAGAGCGACTCGACGAGTTGATGCTATGACTCGTCGAGTCGATTCGCGCGTGGTCACAAGGTTTTAGTGACCTACTCGACGAGTCCAAGAGACTACTCGTCGAGTAGGCGCTGGAATGAGAAACCCTAAATCCCCGGGTTTGGGACCTATATAAAGGCACTTATAGCCTCCTTGTGCAGACACTCTTCACAGAGAGAGACCCTAACCTGCCCCTTTCATCATATATATATATATATATATATATATATATATATATATATATATATATATATATATATATATATATATATATATATATATATATATATAGAGAGAGAGAGAGAGAGAGAGAGAGACCATTTTGAGCATTCTTGTACATTTTGGAGGAAGGATTGGAGGAGCTTGGTGGATCCAACTGAGGAAAGGCTGTGGATATAGTATTCTTCTGTCATTAGCTTTTATTCAGAGGTAAAAAGCTCTCATCTTGGCCATACATTCGTTAGATCTCATTTTTGGGAGTTTTTTTGGCGTTTTCTTCCAATCACCTTGTGTCCTTGAGTTATTTGAGCATGGTTTGAGGTTAGAACCTCAGATCTGGACTAGATAAGGCCTTGAGAGTCCAAAGATTCGAGCTTTATTGAGCTAGAGGCAAGCTCATGTGCATTTAACCTTTCTTGGAGCATGTATTGGCATTATGGAGCAAATATGCCATGCATGATCGTAAAGATCGAAGCTTTACGTGACATTTAAGCCTAGGGAGTCTAGATCTAGTATTTGGAGTGATAGATCTACCCTAAAACATCTGAATGGGAGTATGGACTGGATGAACTTTCCGAGTCCATGAGCTGACTCGACGAGTCGCTTATGGTTTATTCCGATAAGTTTGAGCATGCTGTAACTCATCGAGTTAGCGGGTCAACTCGATGAGTAGAGTTGGTTTTCAGAAGGCCTCTGAGGAAACGAGGGGACTCGACAAGTCCTGCTAATGCATTTGTCGAGTTGGGTCACCATGGACTGTTGACTCAAGTTTGACTTCGGTTGACTTT